AGAACTCCTAAAGAAGGTCACGCCTTGGGATTGGGTTCCTAGGTGAGAAGAGGTCTTCAATACATTGAAAGCAGCTATGTCTAGTAGCCCCATCTTGTCCCTCCCTGATTTGCCCAAGCCGTTCAAAATACAAACAGATGCCTCTAACTATGCTCTAGGTGGAGTCTTATTACAAGAGGCGCATCTAGTGGCGTATGAGAGCCAAAATTTAAATGATGCAGAACGATGATATGCCACCCACAAAAAAGAATTATTGACTGTCGTCCATTGCTTACACCTTTGGAGACACTATCTGCTGGGAATCCCGTTCGTGGTCAAGACAGATAACACAGGTGTTGGCCATTTCATGACTCAGCCAAAGTTGAATGGCTGACAGGCTAGGTGGCAGGAACTCCTAGCAGAATCTCACTTCAAACTGGAGTAACGAAGTGGGAAGACCAACCAAGTCACTGATACGCTTAGTCGAAGAGTTGATCTAGCATCGATGCACCTACTCGCCAGCCTAAGGGGGAGCGAAGGGGACACCACTATAAAAGATCAGATACAAGATCTACTCACCAAGGATTCTGCTGCTCAATATTTAGTCGTTTTGGTAGGACAAGGCAAGACTTGCCAGTTCTACATAGAAGATGGGTTCCTGAAAGTGAAAGGGAACCAACTTTATGTTCCTAAAGGAGGATCTCTGCGAAAGACTCTTTTGATAGAATGCCATGATACTTTGTGGGCCAGCCATCCAGGTAAAGAACACACCATGACGTTGTTGCGCCATGCTTATTATTGACCTCAAATGGATGATGACATTGCTTAGTATGTGAAAACTTGCCTAGTATGCCAGAAAGACAAGTTGGACCGCTTGACACAAGCAGGACTCTTGGAGCCACTGCGTGTTCCAAAGAGACCTTGGGAAAGCTTGTCACTAGATTTCATTACCGGATTGCTCAAAATCGGAGATCTTACAAATATATAGGTTGTGATGGATCGATTTTCCAAATATGCTACATTTATAGCAGCCCCAAAATATATATCAGCAGAAGAAACAACTCAACTCTTCTTCTCTCATGTTGTCAAAGATTGGGACCTGCCGAAAGACATAGTTAGTGGTGGCAACTCTCGCTTCACTAGCAACTTTTAGACTTAGCTCTTCAAGTGCCTCGGGTCCAAGTTAAGCCACAATTCAAGTTTACATCTGCAATCTGATGGCCAGACGGAGCATTTCAATGGCATGTTGGAGGAATATCTCTGCCATTTTGTTATCGGATCGCACAAGAATTGGGTGAAGCTTCTGGATGCTGCTCAACTATATTTCAATTCATAAAAGAGCTCTAGTACAAATAAAAGCGCTTTTGAAATTGTTACCGGACAACAACTGCTACTCTCACACACTGTGAATGCCTCAAACATGTCGAAATCTCCTCAAGCTGGTAGCTTCTCGAAGGAATGGAGGCAAAATTTGGAGATAGTGCAGAGCTATCTCGTCAAAGCCTAAAGGCAGATGAAAAAGTATGCTGATCAAAATCATCATTTTGTTGAATATCAAGTAGGAGAAAAAGTGATGGTAAAAATCCCAAAGCGATACTTGTTTGCAGGGGTTCATGACCCTCGCCTATTTCAAAAGTACATTGGACCCTTGTCCATTGAGAAACGCATTGGGAAAGTTTCATACCTTGTGGATACCCCAGCCTGGTGGAAGATTCATCCAGTCTTCCATGTCAGCTTTATGAAACCTTTTCGGAAAGACATGGAGGATCCTTTGCGGAGCCAACTCACAATACCAAGTATTCGAGGCCCTAATAATCGGAAAAGGGCGGGTAGAAGCTATTATCGATGATCGAGTGATTCATGCTTCAAGGAAAGATCACCAAGAGTTCCTGGTGAAATGGCGGGGCTGTGATGCTGAGGATAATACTTGGGAGAGGGGAACAAACTTCAAATCCTACAAGATCCTGATAGAAGATTATCTTGCAAGTAAGGCGCCGAGGACGTCGCCAACTCAGGTGGGAGAGAATGTCATGGGCGGCTTTCCAATCATGTCCCATGACCCTTTGGACGCGTCCCATGGTGCCCTGGAAGGCCTCCCAATGCCTATCTCCAAGGACGGACTCGTGGTCTTGGCCGCGCCAAGTGACAAGCACACATGTGCCTATGTCACCTCACCGATAGCCCTCGCTAGTGCCCAGCCACAAACAGATGCCAACAGCGTTGCCCCCGTAGACTCTGATGCTAAAGACAAGGTTGCTTCCAATGGACCTGCTTCTGCTTTGTAGGAATCTAAGACATTTCTATTGTAAATATAGAGTAGTTTTACTTCATGTATTTCCATTATATCTCTCTAGCTTAATTTTGTTAAGTCATGTAACTTTGGTTTATTTTTTTTTAAGTATTATTAGGGGGGATTAAGCAATCAAACTTTCTAGTAAGCAAACAATTCTCTGTACTGTTGTCTCTCCCTCTCGAGACCGTGTTGCTTTTCTGTAATATCTTTCATTAATGCAATCAAACTTTCTTTCATGCTCAATTCTCTTTTATGTTCTCCTATTTGCTCTTGACATTAGTTTTCATGTACGTCACTGACAATTTCGTCTAGCATACGGAGGGGACCCCAGTTGGCGGATAGTAACTGCACGGAGATCGGTTCCTTAGCCTTACGCCGCCCTTTCAAGGAATCTCAGGAAGGGACCGCATAACAACTGGCATGAAGTACCTCATAAGTATATTAGACCCAGAAAATCATTTACAGTGAGTCTCTAGATAGGGCGTATTTACCTTCCTTCAAGCGTTGTCCCGTGATATCTCTTGATTTTTTTATTAGAAATGTATATATAATAATAAGCAAAATAAAAATATTAATTATAAATATAAATGATGACACCTCTTATTACTATAGTGATTTATTATTTTTGTTCACTTTTTCGGATGTTAACACTGTTTACAAAAAAAAAAACTTGTGTACACCACTGCTCTAGGGAAGTCACTTTTCATCGAAGGGAAATGGCTTATAAAGGAAAATATTTTGCTGAATATTTAGTTAAACAAACATAGAAAAATTAGAAAATACACCAAAGTGTTCTTTAAATTTTATCTCTCAACCGAACCCCCCGCCCCACACACACCACAAACACACACACACACAAAGATCGATTTTATCTTCCTCTAATTTTCTAAGAAATCTGATACCGTTAACATATTTTTGCAGCAATATCACTTCAAAACAATATTAAACCAAAAAATGATTGTTTTCGTATGTGGAAAGAATATTTTGACAAGAAGTTTCTTGGCAAAATTTTCTCTGACCTTGTGTCTTTTATTGACATGGCAAGCTGATTTGATGAATAGACAAGATAATACTAGGATCCAAATACCTTAGTCATCCTTTGCGGTTGGAATTATGCTCAATGTTCAAGTTGTGGCCACAAGTCAAGTAATCTTTTGATTGATTTTAAGATATATTAACGTACTATTAACCATGATTTTATTGGTCAAATTTTTCAACCAGAAAGGGACATGTCCTCTATTGGTTTTCCATGTAATATGACAGTCAGTCTTGAGCTTGATGTCCATAAGTCTTTTCTAAAATGGGATTAGCCAGATCTCATCTTTTGGAATTTGAAAGTTAGGTGCCCTCAGAGTTCGTTTGGTACGAGGAACAAGAGATAATTAATCCCGAGATCTTAAATTTGAGATGAGCTTATCCTATTGGTTATGATAAAATCACGGTATAATTAATCCCGAGATTAGTTATCCTACGATTGTAGTATTATTTTTATCCCCATGAAAAGGTGAAATAACAATCCCGAAATAATTAATCCCGGAATAATTAATCCTGAAATAACTTATTTCATAACTAAACAACTCATTAGCGGTTAAGTCATGCCCTACCCTGTCCTGTCCTATCCCAGTTAGTGACCCATAAGGTACCTTGAATTGTAAAGTTAATAGAGCTACCGACTAGAATTCTTTTTTAAAATTGTTTAGTTACATGTGGTGTGATAGGGGAATAGGGGTTGAGAATGGGATGAAGGACAATGTAAATTGTACTTACGTTTTGTCTGATAAAATATTCATCGATACAATTAAACTATGATGATAGATTTCGCAATAACTGATTCAACCAACTTTGAGATATTGGCTGATAAAACTCTCATTAGGCGTGTATATAGACCGGATTGGTTCGATTTTTATCAAAACCAAACCAAACCAACTATATCGGTTTGGATTGATTCGGTTTTGTCGGATTTTTCGGGTTTTCCAGATTTGTTGTTACTTAAATATTATTTCAATCTTACTTTGTAAAATTTTTTATAAGTAAATATATGTTTAGTAAAAATTAAAAAATTTGACAAACATATTATCTATTAAAATATCTTATGGGAGAATTTTCTTAGTAACACATGATATTTAATTTTTTAGTCCTCTGACAATAATTTTCTTCGAAAAAGATATAAGAATTTAATAGATCTTGACATATGAATATGGAAGAACAAAGAGATTGACGCATTTCAGTAACAATTGATAAGAGAGTGATCATACAACCAATTATTTAAGGTTAACAAATATGGAGCACTTCATATTCTATTTAATATTATATCCCGTAAGAGAATCCCAAATATTTCTAGATATTTTTAAAGAAAATTATATATAAAATCTTAAAAGTATATATAAAAATTATAATATGTCAGTTTGGTTCGGGTTTTTTTACTCAATACCAAACCAAATCAAATCAAACCAAACCTAGTCGGATTTTTTAATCGATTTGGTTTGACTTTTCGATTTGGTGCGATTTTCCCGTTTAGTTTGTACACCCCTAACTCTCATCTATGCAATTTTCCTTCCTTTCGTCGGTTTAAACAGCCACCTCGCATTTTCCTTTAACTGTGTCCAAATCGACGTACCTTTTGTTTTGCATGATAATAGTCTTTGGTCTTTGTTTAATTAGTTGTAATTTTCCTTCACGACAATTGGTCACAAATACCCAAATTGAAGGACAACTCTCAAAACAAAAGTTATCCTAGAAAAAAAAATACACAATCACCTTAAGATTTCCAAAATTTCACCAACGTACTTAAACAATTACCTACAAAATTAAATACAAATTAATTGCAATTCAACACTATATGACGACCAAATGTGGCAAAATTAAGAATATAACATAAGGCAACTTCATATAATCTTTGCAGTAATCTCTCAGATCGTTGGATCGAAATAAGATACTTTTAAAATCAAGCTCTCTGGGGAAGAGCGTACGATGAGAAAACTGAGGAAACAGCAGTGAAAAAGAATCCAAAAAGACAAAGGCTGGCCGCAGCATCTGCTATGCTTAGAAATTTATTCAGTTCGTCATTTTTAAGTTGCTTCAATTGTTGTGTCGTCCCACAAGTTTTAGCTGCTCCGGTAGCAAGGAAGTAGGACATTAACTGCACAAAACCATATAATAAAAAGGTAATATATATATATATATATATATATATATATATATATATATATATATATATATATATATATATATATATATATATATATTGACACCCCTTCCTATAAGGTGACTCCGCCACTAATTATATCTATAAAAAAGATTTTATGCTTGTTTCTTTCCCTTGTGTGAGACAAGTCGTGAATCTAGAATATTGTAGTCTTTTATAGTGAAAGAAGTTGAGACGCAATTATTAATAATAGATTACCTAGAGAAATAGGTAAAAGAAATTTCATAAAATATGTTTCTCAGAGTATCTGTTCAATAAATCAGGACAAAGCGATTGATTCAATTAAGAGCGTAGCGTAGGAGACATGTAAGAAGACCATCAACGGATACTGTCACTATATATGAGTTAAATCTATTACTTCAATTATTATTTGAGGTGTGAGTGACTGTCTTTATTGTATTTTATGTTTGTTCTATTCTTTTCTCTCTCTCTTCTTACAACAGATATTTTTCTAGTTTTACCATCTAATAAAAGGGCTAAGGAAAAAGTTACTTTGTCACAGTAGAAGTCAACTTGACGGTGACCCTCACCACCAACGTGATTTCCTGTTCTCACACAAGGTAAATTGAGATACCAGTTTGGGCAAGAGTGTGTACCATTCCAATAATCACAGTAGACATCAGGTATCTGAATATATTCTCTTAAAAGTTAGTCATCTTGTCAATTATTTTTAGTTGTACTATTACTACATATATATTCCCTTCGTCCCAATTTATGTGATACGTATTTAACTGAGCACAAAGTTTAAGAAATAATGTAAGACCTCAATTCATAAAAATTTGTGTGGCTAGAAATCATCTTATTAAGGGTAAAAATAGAAATTTAAATTTGATTTATTATTAAGTATAACTTTTTTTTCGGGACTGACTAACAAAAAAGACTATCACATAAAATGAGACGAAGGGAGTATAACTTTAGAAAATATAAATTATAGTAAAGTGAGAATTTTACCTGTAAGCAAAAACATCCTTAAACGTGATTTTGAGTTTTTGACATCCCCAATATTGGTAGAAATAGTATCAGTGTTGGTGGTAATCAAGATGAGTGAAATCAATTGGCAAATAAGCGTAAGAAACCTTACAATAAGGCCGACGAAGGGCGGGATGGTGGTGATGTCATTTCTAATTGCGATGAATAATAGTTTACAAATAAATTATAAGAAGAAATAACTAAAATTTATCGATACATAAATCTTATTGCACAAAGGTTTCTTATAGTGATATACTTGTGATGCAATATTAGTGTTATATAGGAAAAATAATGCATAAGTTGTGGAAACGTTGACTTTGTTTTAATCTGCAAGTCAATGCTCGGCTCAAGTCCATTCGTTTTTATTGCTTTAAATTTACCCTAAATGATAATGCATATGTGTAGGAAAAGTAATTGCATTTTCCTTCAGAAAAGAACATTTTTGAATAAGACACATTTGTTGGTCGTTTAATTTTTTGTTCATTCATATTCTAGTGGTTAGTACGTAAATCGTTTTTTTTATTTGTCTTTATTATGGTGTATCTATCGTGAAATAAGTGGATTGCACGTATCTAATTACTTTTTTGAGAAAAAAGGCCTAATTTACTCATCTTTTTTACTATGATTTAAGGTTACTCTTAGATTGACTTAGTAAGAGCAAAAAGAAAACGTTTTCCTAGCAACAGGTAATATTATACCAAAGGTCCCATAAACGGTAAAATTGATCAATTTCGAATAATACTGGAGCTAACGTAACCATTTTCCCAATAAGAAAATCCATATAAATAATAAAGAAAATTTAGGTTTTAGCATATCTATAATTTATATCTTCTTTCCTTATTTCCTTCTCATCAAGGATGCACAGAAAATCTGATCGATTTTTTTTTCTTTCATTTTTAAATCTATCTGATAATGAAAATTAGTAGACATGGGAAGAGTATCAAATGGAGCTGGCCGGCCGTCACTCTTTTTAATATTCTACAAAAAGATTCAAATAATTAAAAAGTTAATGTCATATTAACGTCATCAAAAGTTTCGGGTATTTTGTCTTCATGGCTTATTACAATATTAAAATATGGTTTTTTACAATATTGAAACTAAGAAAGTAACTTTTTAAGATCTTCTATGTGTAAAAAAAAATCTCAAAATTAACGAATGCAAACGGTCTCTAAATAAAGAGCAACGGTTTTGGAGGCAATATGTTCTTATTAACTTTGGTCGAAAAACAATTTCTAAAGGATACAATGGAAAATTAAATACCCAAATTGAAGACAATTCTCAAAACAAAAATTACAAAATAAATACAAAACCTCCTTAACCAACGTAAACAACTAGATACATTTTAAATACAAATTGAAACTCAACAATGTATGACGACCAAATGTGGCAAAAGAAAAATACAAGGAAAACTTCAAAATCTTAAAATAATAATCTCTCAAAGTATTGGATTTGAAATAAGAGATTATATATAAATATATATATATATATA